GTGTGTGTGTGTGTGTGTGTGTTGAGCTGAGGGATAATGCGACACAAATCCGCCTTTTTCTCGCGTAATACTTTCTTGTTGCCTCTACTGTCTTTGGTTTGGTGCCTGAAATCGAACGAAAGGGGGAGTGAGGGGAGGAAAGGAAGCGTGTGTGTGTGTGTGTGTGTCTCAAGCAAATAGTGGAGAATCTCGAGTGCGTACGTACGTACGTGTAGCGTTTTAGTTGGTGGCTCTGTGTGGGGGCTTTTTTTTTGCTGTGCTTCTTTTTGCGCATGTCCACTGAGAAGCGGGCGCTGGTGCTTGACAACGGCAGCGGCTTCCTTAAGTGCGGCTATGCGGGAGCCAACTTTCCTGCTGCTGTCTTCCAGACCGCTATTGGCCACCCGGTGCTGCGGTCATCCAAGCACAGCAGCAGCAGGGGAAGTGGCAACCATGTTGATCCCAAGGTTCGGGATCTCGTGCTTGGTGATGAGTGCAGTGGCGTGCGGCACCTGCTTGACATGACGTACCCGATACGAAATGGCATTATTCAAAACATGGATGACATGTGTCACCTCTGGGACTACGCGTTCAACGAGTTGCTTCAAATTGACCCCACCGAGCATCGCCTGCTCCTTTCGGAGGTGCCGCTCTTCAGCAGTAAGCATCGCTGCCACTTGTATGAGGTGATGTTCGAGCGATACAAGTTCCCCGCGCTCCAGTCCGCTGTGCAAGGCACGCTGTCGCTCTTCTCCAATGGTCTGCAGACGGGTGTCGCGGTGGAGAGCGGCGAGGGCATCTCGCACTGCACGCCCATCTTCGAGGGCTACGCACTGCCCAAGGCGAACCGCCGGGTGGATCTTGGGGGACGAAATATCACGGAGTTTCTTATTAGGCTGATGCAGCGGCGCGGCTACAGCTTTAATCAGACTAGCGACTACGAGACAGTGCGGCGACTTAAGGAGCGCTTCTGTTATGCGGCGGTGGACAGCCGACTGGAGAAGCGGCTTGCGCTGGAGACGACGGTGCTGGAGCAGAGCTTCCTGTTGCCGGACGGCACTACGTGCAGTATCGGGCAGGAACGCTTCGAGGCAACGGAGGCGCTGTTTCAGCCGCACCTCATCGATGTGGAGTGCGACGGGCTGTCGGCGCAGCTGTGGAGCTGCATCCAGGCCGCTGACATCGACGTGCGGACGGAGCTGTATGGCCACGTCGTACTCTCCGGCGGTTCCACGATGTTTCCCGGGCTTCCGAGCCGCATCGAGAGGGACATGCGGGAGTTGTTCCTCGAAAAGGCACTCAAGGGCGACCGCACACGTCTCGGCAACTTCAAGCTGCAGGTAGAGGACCCGCCTCGGCGCAAGCATATGGTGTTCCTTGGTGGTGCTACTCTCGCTGCATTGACTATGACGCAGCAGGAGATGTGGCTCACGCGTGCGGAGTGGGAGGAGGGTGGCGCGTCGGCTGTGCGGGCCCGCTTTGGTGCGTGAGCATCGCAGAGTGGGTGGGATTCTCCGTCAGTCTGTGTTTGTTTGTGTGTGTGTGTGTGT